ACAGACCGGATAATCTGAAACGGACGCGGGGGCTTTCAGATGGTGAAGTGGATAGTGAAGCTTAATATTAAAGGGATAATGATAGAGAAAGTGATGGTGAATACATAAAATACAAAACGTCTGTTCTAAGCAATGTGAATTTGGATTCTGACCTTAAATTCGTGATAATGTCATGGGATATTTTGGTGATGATCCTCGATTAATTGTGATTTTGAACTTAAATTGATAGGGATGTGAAAGTAAAATTTAAATGTGATCTTAAAATTAATAGTGATAAGGTATATATAACAAATGGTCATTTTTATGGTGACTTAAAGTAAATAATAAACTGAAGTGGACAATGTTCTAATTCTAACAGTGAATTTTGATACTTGATATTTAAGCAATAAAGTAACACGAACGACATCGACCTCACACTCCTAGAACGAAACCAAAACTCTCTCTTACACACACACACACACACACGCACACACACACAGACACACACACACACACACATATATATATATATACACATAAACACACACACATATATATATATATATACACAAACACACACACACACACATACACACACAAACAAACACCCACACACATACACACACACACATATACACAAACACCCACACACATTCACACACACACATATACACAAACACCCACACACACCTACACACAAATCACAAAACTCACAGCACATAAGAAATGACTCCGACGCTCCACATGTCGGTTCCGAAGCTAATAGGTTCGAAATTGACGACCTCCGGAGCCACGAACTCAGGCGTCCCGAAGAGCACCTGAAGCTTCTTGCGCGGGTCGTACTTTCGCGCCAAACCGAAGTCACAGATCTTGATGCGGTTCCCTTCGCGAGAGAGACACAGGATGTTCTCGGGCTGCGGAGAGAGATAGAGGGATAGATCGATTGATGAATGGATGGGTGGAGAGGGAGAGAGAGGGAGGGAGGGAGGGAGGGAGGGAGGGAGGGAGAGAGGAAGGGAGGGGGAGAGGGAGGGAGGGATAGATCGATTGATGGAAGGATGGGTGGAGAGAGAGAGAGAGAGAGAGAGGGAGGGAGGGAGGGAGAGGGAGAGGGAGAGAGAGAGGGAGGGAGAGGGAGAGAGAGAGAGAGAGAGAGATAAATAGATGCAGCTGCCCTCGCGAGACTGCGGAGAGATAGACAGACTGAAAGATGAGTGGGTGGATAGACTGATAGATATGCGGGTTGGTAGATAGATAAATAGACACAAATTTATGCAGTTGCCCTCATAAAACAGGCAAGGAAGGATGAATGGACAGGCTACTGAATAAAATAGTTAGATATATAAATAAGAACGAATGAATGCGTATAAACAAAAGAGTCAGTTAACAGTGAAGATAATATATATATCATCTAAAAATGTAATCTTTTCGAATATGTCAGATTCACAGTTCAAGAGCTGGAGTTACGAGAGAAGAAAGAAAGAAAGAAAGAAAAGAAACGAAGAGAAAGAAGAAAGAAAGAAAAATGTGTATTATGTTAAGAATTTCGTGTAATATAAATAATTATAATACTGGGAAGAGGGAGAGAGAAAAGACAATTTTTATGGAGAAGAAAAATATAAAAAAACAACAATCGTAACATTACATAAACACTACTCAAATTAAACTTACCTTCATGTCGAGATGTAGAATATTTTTCGAGTGAATAAACTCAACTGCCTCGCAAACCTGACGCATGAATATGGCACAAGCTTTCTCCGTCAAGACGAAGTCGTCGTCGATCACACGTTCGAACAGTTCGCCGCCATCCACCCTGTCGACGTATTTTGAAATTCGTAAATGTAATTGTGGATAGTATTATGATGTTTTATGTACCTACGATGTTGGAATTTACATTTTCATGTATCAAATGGACGTATAAAAGAATTTAATTTATTAAAAGAAATACAGACACGTATTATATATAAATATACAGACTTGTACACATACCTACTTACACACACACACACACACAAAAGCACATCCACATAGTTACAAACACGAAAACCCACCCAAAACAACCACTAACATAAAGAATACACTGCGCACGCACACACACACACACACACACACACACACACACACACACACACACACACACACACACACGCCCGCACGCACGCACACACGCCCGCACGCACACACGCACACACACGCACACACACGCACACACACACACACACACACACCCCTCCCTCAACACACAATGTACGAAACAAAACTCTCCCTCCTCTCCCCCTGAACACAACCTCCCCGCCCTACTCACACCTCAAGCACTAGACACATCTCTTTATCCATGTCAAAGGCATCGTAGAGCTGGATGAGTCTAGGGTGCGGTCGCTCAGCGTTCAGAAGCTTCATGATCTCGACTTCGCGCTCGACATTGGCTCGGTCTTGGTTTCGCTTCGTGTTGACGAACTTGGCGGCGAATTTCTGCCCGGTCGTCTTGTCCGTTACCAGGTACACGGTGCCGAATCTCCCCCTGGGGGTGGAAGGGAGGGGAGCGGGGGTGAGTTTGGGGTGGTTGGTGTGGGGGGAGGGGGGGAGAGGAAGGGGGGGACGGAGGAGGAGGAGGAGGAAGAGGAGGAGGAAGGGGGGAAGGAGGAGGAGGAGGAGGAGGAGGAGGAGGAGGAGGAGGAGGGGAAGGGGGAGAGGAAGGAGGGAGGGAGGAGGAGGAGGGGAAGGGGGGGAGAGGAAGGAGGGAGGGAGGAGGAGGAGGAGGGGAAGGGGGGGAGAGGAAGGAGGGAGGGAGGAGGGGGAGGAGAAGAAGAAGAAGGAGAGTAAGGGGAGGGGGGAGAAGAAGGGGGAAGGAGGAGGAGGAGGAGGAGGAGGAGGAGGAGGAGGAGAAGAAGAAGAAGGAGAGTAAGGGGAGGGGGGAGAGGAAGGGGGAAGGAGGAGGAGGAGGAGGAGGGAAAGGGGGGAGAGGAAGGGGGGAGGGAGGAGGAGGAGGAGGAGGAGGAGGAGGAAGAAGAAGAAGAAGAAGAAGAAGAAGAAGAAGAGGAGGAGAAGAAGAAGAAGGGAGGAGCAGGGGGAGGGAGATGGGGAGGTGGTGGGCAATGTGGGGGGGGGTTAAGGGATGGCAGGAGGGAGGGATGAGATAGGAAAGGAGGGGGGAGTAAGGGAAGAAAGGAGGTACAGGGAAGGAGGGAGGAAGAGAGAGAGAATGGTGACATGATTGGACATAATGATTAACATAATACAACTACGACAAAGTTTAGAAGATAATATCAAAGGTAACAAAGTATTATTACACAGTTGTAGTTGTAAATAACGATAATGAGGACAATAATAAAAGAAATGATGGAGATATCGCAAAACTTATACTACTACTACTACTACAGCTACTAATGATAATGATTATAGCAATAATGACACTGCTATTTCTGCTAGTACCCTACAACTAACAATAGTAAAAAAAAAAGTTAACATGAACAACAGCAAAATTAATAGAAATCAATAGAAATAATAATGGTAATAATAACAAAAAATTTAGTGATGATAATAGTAATGCTAGTAGAAGTAGTAACAAAATAATAACAATAATAGACATAATGGTTATAATAATAGTAACACAACAGTAACAATATTAATAATAACAATAATAACAAAACATCAGTAATACGTCTGGCTGAATTTGGTCAAAGGATACTTGACCTTCGTCACTGTATACTTTGAGCCACAGATTTGTATCTGTCACGAACGTATCGTTACCCTTTAGCAAAAAATTCTGAACGAATTGCATCCATTTGTTTAGTGAAGCGCATCAAGGCAAACCTTCGAGTACAACGAACTATTATATTTGTCTTTTTTGTTCCATTTGATTTTGTGCCAGGCCTCCCCGGCCGGTTCGAGCTCGGCAACAAGACGCGCAACAGACGCCATAGACGAGAAACGAACTGTAGTGTTAAGAACGCACAGAGAGAGCTGTCATTTCCGTCAAGTACAAGGGAGCCAAAACGTAGATATGTGTCATTTTGCTTTTTTTTTCTTTTTCCTTGCATTTTTGTTTTGTTTCCTTGGCGACGTGGAAGGTATGAAGGAACTTAAAACGTTATTTTTAGGGCATTCTTTGCATTGTTTGACAGCCGTCTAGTCTGGCAACTCTCACCTTTTTGTTTATTATATAATACCTTCTTTAGAAGCACAGGGAATGACGGAAGTGTGTTATTTAAAGCATTCCACGTTTAAAACACCAAACAACGTACGTAGGGGAAAAAAAGAGCGAGAGAAAAAAAAAACAACTAAAACGCATGAACTCAAGAACCTAATTATACACCAAGAATGTCTTTCAAATACACCATCATTAACTACCTAAATAATGGAGAGAGCGAGAGAGAGAGAGAAAAAAAGAGGAACCGCGAATTTAAGCGAGGTTTTAGCTGCATTGGCATTCTTGGCCGGAGCGAGACTTGGCACCGTGGCAGGGCAGGCTTGGCGGAGAAAACGGAATGCGAGACAATGCAAACACACGAAGCGGTGAATTATCGAAAACGCGGACGAAAATCGCAATTAAAGGAATGTTCGTCGGTTCATAGATTGGCTGGTGATGATTATTAGTGGTGGTGATGATTGTTAGTGGTGATGGTTGTTTGTGGTGGTGATGATTGTTAGTGGTGATGGTTGTTTGTGGTGGTGATGGTTGTTAGTGATGGTGATGATTGTGTGATGATGATGATTGTGTCGTGGTGGTGGTTTTCATGACTGGGACGATAGTGATGATACTAAGTATGATGATTATGGTGATGAGGGTCAAAACTGTGATAAATATATATTTTTTTACTCTGAGAAAATGAAACGGAAAATAACCATTCCCGTCACTATGTTCAGAGAAGATAAACAACACATACACACGGTTAAAAAAAGAATAAAAAATAAAAATAAATAAAAAATAAAATTAACCTGAATCACCCCACAATTTAAAATTACAACCAGCACCAAAATAAATCCCTTCTTTAAAAGACGACAGGGAGGTGAATCATCCAACTAAAACTGAACGCGAGGATTTAATGTATGCACACTTTAGCCCTCTCGCATGGAAACGCAACCCTGACTTATAAAACATTAATCAGTGTCGTGCTTTGGCAAAATATGGTCTCGCATTTGACTCCGATGTCCTTTAAGCGATTCCCTCAGCAGGGTAAGAATTTAGCAAGGGGGAAAATGTGAATATATTTTGATGGCTTTGGATAAGTTTAAAGTTTAAAGTGTGAGGTTGGTGAGACTGATACTGTTTTTTTTATTATTATTTTTACCGTTATAATTGTTACTTTCACTGTTTTTCATGTATATTATCCTTTAAATAGTTTTTCGATAATGAAGCCATTGATTGCTTTATTCATAGTGTAGAGAACCTTTACCTTTGGTATTATAATTTCTAAATACATATATTATCATTCTATAATGTTTAACAGCTGCCACTTTATGCATATTTTTTTAAAAGATAATTAATGCTACATTCTGACTGCCAACAGCTTGTGTATTATTGCCTTAGATAATTTTAACCATATGATACCATAGAACACATTATAGTTGCTGATAACTTTGACTACAATATAACTTACGACTTCCGATAAATCTGGCTTGAGTCTTATCTGTGGTATGAATCATATGGGCTCTGATGTTTTATGAAGGGAGGGTAAGGAGGTAATTAAAGAACGCTGCGGAGAAACAAAGGAAGTGAAGAAGAGAAGGAAAAAGGTTTGTGTGTAAGAGAGAGAGAGAGAAAGAGAGGAAAATGGTTTATGTCTGAGTGTGTGTGTATGTGTGTGAGAGAGAGAGAGAGAGAGAGAGAGAGAGAGAGAGAGAGAGAGAGAGAGAGAGAGAGAGAGAGAGAGAGAGAGAGAGGAAAATGGTTTGTGTGTAAGAGAGAGAGAGAGAGAGAGAGAGAGAGAGAGAGAGAGAGAGAGAGAGAGAGAGAGAGAGAGAGAGAGAGGAAAATGGTTTGTGTGTAAGAGAGAGAGAGAGAGAGAGAGAGAGAGAGAGAGAGAGAGAGAGAGAGAGAGAGAGAGAGAGAGAGAGAGAGAGAGAGAGAGAGAGAGAGAGAGAACCAAGTGGCAACGATGGATATGAAAGAAGAGGAGCCAAGAAAGCAGTTTGACATATAAAAAGACACTTGGATGGAAAACGCTTTAAAAACAAGACATATCTACTTTGTGATCTTAACGTCTCATTTGCTCTCCTTGTCTCTTATTAATGCATCATAGAGGAAAGAAGAGACAAAGGCGGTTTTGTGATCGTCTCGTAGAATTAGCCTCTAAGTTACCACAAAATATGATCTGAATAAGACAGATGTTGACAAGGAGGAATGATCACTTTTTGACATCTGGTGTGCCTATAGCTAGCTCGAAATAATAGTATTAACTTTCGATTCACTCATAATTTTATTCCCAATTAATTATATAACAGATGTACATCTTTATCACTTTTTGACTGTGGGTTTATACAGCCTTAATACAATTTTGTTTTCATGCTATAGTTAGGAGGTCTTCGCTGAGTGATAATTGTTGTGAAACAGAGTATACTCGTATGTTTTCCCGGAACTGACTGTTGTAAAGGACTATATGAATACCAGACTAATAAAAAAAAAGGGAAATTGGGGGCGGGGATACGGTTAAGAGCGAACGCAAAAAGGATATTAATAAACACAGCCCTGAGGCAATGAGGAAGTAACCCCCGTGACGTGCCAACTTATCTGTCAGTTGCGAGGTACTGCTTAAACATACCGCATACCACCCTCACGCCCCTCCGCCCGACCCCACCCATTTCCACCCGCATACCGCGACCTCCTTGCCCTTCCTACGCCCACGACTTTCTTTGTCTCCGCCCACGGTAAACACGCGGGCATGGCTTTCCACCCTTGGTTCAGTAGTACGGTGAGAGGTTTCGAGTTCTTTCTCTCTCTCTTTTTTCTTCTCTTTACTCAAGCATCTGATTATTATTGTCGTTTATTTTTCCTTCCCTCTCTTTCTCTCTGTCTGTTTAAGTGTATGGTTATACTGTTTTTATTTTTTCTCTCTTCTCTCTGTCTACCTGATCATTATTACCATTATGTCTTAACATCCTTACCTCACGCAAGCTGTTTTATTGTACTTTTTTACGTTCTACTATATTATTCATAAGAGATTTCACGGCAGTCAAGATTGCAACACTTGGCTTTAGGTCTGGTACTGTGAGTCCATGGCAGTGATCCAAAAAACATTAGCAGACAGTCCAGAGATGCTTACTGACCATGCAGTACCCCTTGTGCACTGAGGTTAAGTAAGCTGTGATCTGTAATCGAGTGGATGCCAAGGAATTTCCTTTCTCTCTTTTCTTTTACTGCTTTTCTCTCTCTTTCTCCTTGTCTGTGTTTATGTTTCTCATTCTCTCTATCTCTCTCTCTCTTTCTTTTTATCTCCCCCTCTCTCTTATCTCCCTCTCTCTCTCTCATATCCCTCTCTCTTTCTTCTCTTTTCTCTCTCTCATCTCCTCCCCTCTCTTTCT